TAAGACTATAGCATTGAAAACAACTATCGTTGGTGTGAATTTGTTTCATGTGTCCACCAAAACTGGTGTCTAATGTATAAAGTGTTTTATTTCAGAACTCTATTGCTGAACTCATGAAGAATTTACTCGCTAAGAATCCAAACTACATTAGGTGCATCAAGGTAAACATTGCAACAAAAATGTTTTCTCTTCACACCTAGGTGAAAAAACATTAAATTGAAATTTTTTTTTTTATTGAAAATTCAAATTCATTGTTTTTAATTTTTTCTTCTTTAGCCAAATGACTTCAAAAAACCAGACACTTATGATGAGACTATTATCAGACATCAAGTTCGTTATTTGGGGTAAGAGTCTTTAATTAGTGTGAAACACATCACTAACAGAAGATCATACAAACCTAACTTTGCAATTATTGTATACTGGATCATTAAAATACAACTCATTTTGACCATATCTGTAATATACATAAAGCATAGGCTATTAATAGTGCAATATTGTTTTGTATGAATATATTTTTTTATTTTGGCCCAAAAAAGTGTGATGATAAGCCTTTCAAACCGGCATGTGTGCTAGCATAAACAGTCAGTCTTATAGGTTTTGCAATTTTCTAATTGCACCAGTGATGTTTGGATGTCATTATTTTCAATATATATTTTATTCTTCAACATTTTTCAAGTTCTTCGATCTTAGATAAGTTCAGACATGGTCCGAAAAAAAGAATATTAATTTGTGTTTGTTCAGAAATGGTTCTCTATGCAGTGGACACAATAATGTTTCATGTTTTTTTACCAGTTCTTCTAATAGAGCAGTTATGGTATTGTATATGTTTATCTCCACAGTTTAATGGAGAATGTGAGAGTGCGTAGAGCTGGTTATGCATTTAGACAACCATATGAATTATGTCTACAACGTTACAAGATGTTGTGTCCTAGGACCTGGCCAAACTGGAATGGAACGCTGAAAAACGGTGTCACAGAAATATTGATACATAATCGCATCCCAACAGCTGAATTCTCATTTGGAAGGACCAAGATCTTCATTAGGTCTCCAAGAACAGTAAGTACAGCTAAGTTTAATTAGTTGCTAGCCATTCCATTTTACTGTAATTTTTGTTATACATTAACTTAACTTTGATTTAGAAGTCATATTCCTTGAATAGGTATATATAAAGCACATTATTGAGTTTTGACTTGGGTGTGCAAAGCACAAAGGGGGCTAATGTCATACCCAGTCTGTCTGTATGTATGTATGTATGTATAAATATCATAACAAGAGATTTTTTCAAATGGTTGTGACTTACAGCATGCATACTTTTTGTGCAGTTGAATGTCTAATAATATTTTGAAATTAGTCAATATCGAGAATTATTCTGTGAAGCAGCATGAGCAATACTGAGGCAGAAATACCGGATTCTGCCATAAATAATCACTTCACTTAACTTCACACAGGAACAGTTTTCAGTGTCTCTAGTACAGCAATTTTAATTAAAAAACAACCCAAAGCACTGTGTCGTGAAATTAAAAAAACACAATATTTTATTAACATTTTTATTTTAATGTCCACTATAATGTGACATTGTTAAATTGACAATGAACTACTTATTATTGCATCCTTTCAAATAACAATTTTATCAATTAAATAATTTGATATTTTTAGGAAAATTTGTGTAGTGTTAATTATTGATTTAATTAATGTACTAATTTAATGAGTGTGTTTTCATTGTTTATAGCTATTTGATTTAGAAGAGTGGAGACGGCGTAAATTGAATGACATCGCTACTATTATTCAGAAAACATTCCGTGGCTGGCGACAGTGGCGTTCATACCAGGAGCTGCGTAATGCTACAATTGTTGTCCAGAAACGAGTGCGGGGTCATCAGGTAAGCATTTATTACTGAAGAATACACCCTTAGAGTTTCAGAATTTTGATTATAGGAAGGCGTTAAAAGATTAGAAGAGGGCACTGCTCTTCTTTTACCCCATTCTATAATGCCAGAAAATAAACAAATTAAAATGTTTGTAAGATGGTGTTCATTTATGAACAAAAAAGATGACATGTACACATTGAATTCAAAGCAAGAGAAAAAGTCAGATTCAGAAACTAGATGGTATTTTGCATTGGTACTAACAAGTTGTTAAAAAACAGTAGAAAGTTTGATTTCATGCAAGTAGAAACACCAAACACAAGCACTAAAAGTTCTTCATAAATTGACAGGTTTTATACTACTAGAAACTAAACTAAAGCCTGTCAATTTCTCAGCTAATAAATACACATGTCTACATCATAATAATACACTGCATGGGTCATTCCAGTTTATATTGTTCTCGATTAATTACATATAATAATGACATCATAGATAACATTCACTATTGTTGCCTCTTTCTCATAAGCCCTTTATCATTTCTCTTCCTATTTTTTTAAGGCCAAGACTCGTTATCGAAAGATGCGTAGAGCTGCCATTATAATAGCAGCATACTGGAGAGGAACGGTGGCAAGAAAAGAAAAAAGACGATTGAAGTATGAAGCCAAATGCAAATGGGCTATTGGAGTCATTGTCAAGTTCTACTTGGGATGGAAGGTATTATTGCTTGTCAGAAACCGATTAAAATTGTTGACATACATGTAGAAGCTTTTTGGTCTAAGAGAAAATGGGCAGATTAATGTATTTGTACATCTTCCTGCTTCAGTTGGTTTTTATGTCCACTGGAATCATATAGTTTTTGTTGATGCTGTTTGGACATCAGTCACTAATTGTCTTGAACACACGGTTACTTTTAGTAATGTATCTTTATTATCTGTTGTAGATTCGTAAAGAATACAGAAAGAAGTTCCGTTCTAATGCTGGACCTAAAATCTATGATTTCCTCAAAAAAAGAATGGTACGTTAGTTATTCAAATTCAAAAGAAAATGTCATCTAAACTTCATTTTTTTTTAATTCTGTCCAGCTTATAAAATGTATGGATTTACTGTAAAATAATGTAAGATTACAGCACAATGAGTTGAAGAAAGGTATAATAATGCAGTGATATGTACACTTATTGTAATGAGATGATTACTATTAATACAGGCCTTGTCATTAAGATACAGAAAATAAACATGAGGTCATTGAACAGTATTTTGAGAAACTATAAATTTGACACTGCTTACAAGTAAAAGTATTGGTCTTTCATTTATACTTGTATAATGAATATATTATCTATTCGGACTAATACTGCGCCCTCTGTGGCAGTCATCTTCTTTTCCCCATTTTGTTGTCTTTATGAATAAACCTTTCATCTGTGTGTCACCTGAACACTCAAGTTCAGTATCCCCATTTATACTGTTCTAGGCAAAGCCAAGATCTCATTGGAAATTATTCTATTAGTGGTAATATGGCTGATATTGTGTGTTAAATGGCTACCACAGAGGGTGCTACATATGCTATTTGCATACTGATATCTTGTATTTTTAGTCCCCGTTCGGACGTAGTCCGAAAACGAGGACTTATGTTTTGCCCTGTGTGCGTCTGTGTGTCCGTGATCACCTGTATCTCGAACATGCATGGACCGATTAAGTTCAAACTTCACTCATACATCACACATTATATGGGACATAGGCACATGCATTTTTTTCATGATCCGATTAACGATAGCCGAATAGTGGCCATTTTAAGGCCAAAAATGCATCAAAATCTCACATTTTCACCATTCCGGACCCGGATCTCAGTTATGCATGGACGGATTTTGTTCAAATTTGGTAAATAAATTAAACATATTAGGACCTTGATGCATGTCGTTTTTTTTTTTTTTGGATCAAGTTTGAAATGGCTGACTGGCGGCCATTTTGTTTTAAAGAATTCAGTTTTGGATCCGTATCTGAGACGTGCCTGGATTGATCGAGTTCAAACTTCACACACACAAGGTACATCATGTCACAAATATGTATGTGCATTTGTTTCATGATCTCATTAACGATAGCCAAATGGCGGCTGCTTTAAGGCTGAAAATGCATTGAAATCGCACATTTTCACCATTCCGGACCCGGATCTCAGTTATGCATGGACGGATTTTGTTCAAATTTGGTACATACATTAAACATAATAGGACCTTGATGCACGTTATTTTTTTCTCAGATCAAGTTCGAAATGGCCGACTGGCGGCCATTTTGTTTTAAAGAATTCAGTTCTGGATCCGTATCCGATTGATCAAGTTCAAACTTCACACACACATGGTACATCATGTCACAATTAGATATGTGCATTTGTTTCATGATTCGCTTAACAATAGCTGAATGATCGCTATTTTAAGGCCGAAAATGCATCAAAATCACATATTTTCACAATTCCGGACCCGGATCTCAGTCATGCATGGATGGATTTTGTTCAGATTTAGTACAATGTGTTGTACATATGCAGGTGCATTTCGGATCAGACCACTGAAAGTGGTCTGAAATTTCTGTCATGATCTGCTTTGAATGTATATGTCACTCAAATATGAACGGAACAGGGACGTGTCGTTGACAATGACTTGTTTTAATATAAATTTTCACATGTATATATCATGTCTGAATAATGACCATGTTTCTATTTGTGATGTTAGTAACGGTGAAATCCAACTCCAGCCATATTTTGAATTTCTTGTCACCAAATCAATTATTTTTAACTGATTTTGTTTCAGAAAATGAGGTTTCTACTGAAGATCAGAGACAACTTGCCAAGTATGTCTCCATTGGACACTAAATGGCCTAAGTGCTCCCCTCTTTATGAAGAAACATCCAATGAACTGAAGCAAATATTCATCCGATGGAGAGTAAGTTTCCTGAATTGAATATATGAAATTTTTTGCTTACAGTTATTCCAAGGGGGATTTGGATCACCATCTAAATCCTACTTTAAGCCAATAAATATTTTCACTGGTGTCCAAAGAGGGAACAGCCAACACACCTTTATAAGGAAAACATGAAAACTTGATTATTTACATTGTTACATGTAATATCAGATTATGGGGCTACTGAGTTCGAAAAAGATGACTAAGTGAACCAAAAAACATGCATTTAGAGACACACCTATGCAGAATTTCCATTGCCAGTACATAGCTCTTGAACTCAATAGTTCATAGAAACTCAATAATATATAGAACTCGCTCACTCATTTATGAGAATAACTCGTTTATGAGAACTCACTCATCCAAGGGAACTCAATCATCCAAGGGAACTCACTCATCCAAGAGAACTCACTCATCCAAGAGAACTCACTCATACATGAGAACTCGCTCATCTAAAAGAACTCGCTCATCTAAGAGAACTCACTCATCCAAGAGAACTCACTCATCTAAAAGAACTCACTCATCCAAGAGAACTCACTCATCCAAGAGAACTCACTCATCTAAAAGAACTCACTCATCCAAGAGAACTCACTCATACATGAGAATTCACTCATACATGAGAACTCGCTCATCTAAGAGAACTCACTCATCCAAGAGAACTCATTCATCCAAGAGAACTCATTCATTCAAGAGAACTCATTCATCCAAGAGAACTCATTCATCCAAGAGAACTCGCTCATACATAAGAACTAACTCATACATGGAAACTAACTCATTCATAAGAACTCATACAAGACAATACATTCATGAGAACTCACTCATTCATAAGAACTCACTCATACATGAGAACTCACTCATAGATGTTTTAGTTATTCTGTGTCATTTATTCAAATCAAAATCTGTGTTTTTCTGAAGGCAATGAAGTATAGGAAGAAATTTGATGAGTCCACTCGCCATCGGATTGGTGAAAAAGTCAGTGCAAGTGGTCTGTTCAAAGACAAGAAAGAACTCTATCCTTCATCGTAAGTTAATGTTGTGTTCTGTGATTTTTGGAAAATGTCCCATATTTGGGCACTATGTTGTTTATGGCATTGTGAGTTGAATCACAGGTTTCCATCAGAGAGACATAAGCCATGACACCAGCCACAACACCTTTCACTATATCTAACAGGTGTTTATTGATCAAAATAGCTGCTGTAATTAATGATATAATAATTATTATTGTCAATTTAGAAGATGAGGAATTAAACGAATCACTAATATTGAAACCTGACAGTAGTGAAACTGAGATTTGTTTCTTCTAATTGTTCAGGGTTGCTGTACCATACCAAGGAGACTATGTACGATTACAAAATAACTCTAAGTTCAAGAGAGCAGCACAAACTAGCAATGATCAACATATTCAGTTCTCAGACATTCTTACAAAACTTAATAGATCAAATGGAAAGGTAAGACAGCATTGTCAACAAGTTATAATAATTGACAAATAATATTATTAATAATTGACAAATAATATTAATAATTGACAAATAATATTATTAATAATTGACAAATAATATTATTAATAATTGATGTCTTGATGACTCAAACTATTTTTATCTCAATTAAGATGTTGATTTATTTCAGGGAGTCCCGACATTATTTGTAGTTAGTTCTTCATCTATTCAGTTATTGGATTCCAAGACCCTGGAAAAGAAATACCGAGTACCACTCACAGAAATTACCAATTTATCAGTTAGTCCCTACAATGATGGACTCTTTGCAATTCATGTAAATAAGGTGAGTTATTTGCGTCATTATAAAACTGCTGTCCATGAAAACAATATGAAAAAGGTGTTCGATTTGACCCATATTCAGTTTACAACATGGTTTTCTTGATTATTACCAGTGTCATGATGTTTGGCTTATGTGCTCTTAAAATAAAGCCAATACAGTAACCCTCCGACACTATCAATTTTCTTCAACTATTTGTACATTTCTGTACATCTTTCTCTATTCCCTTAATTTATTTTGAACCAAATCGTCATAATTTTTCACAAAGTGCTAATAAAATTTATTTGTGAATGGTGCTGAAAGTTACTTTAGAATTCAAAAGATTCTATAAGTTTTACTGTACATTATTTTGAGCAAAAAATTCTGAATAATACAGTTGTAATATGTTATTGTAACTGTTTAAAACACCTCGTAACTAAACTACATACAATTTGTCATTAACAGGGCAACCCTAGCAATAAAAAAGGAGATTTCCTGTTTGTGTCTGACAAAGTTATTGAAATCATTACCAAGCTACACCGAGCTGTTCAGCAAGCCACTAATAAAGCAATCTCTGTTGTCATAAATAACAAGTAAGTAATCTTTCTTTGGTGTCTTTCATTTCATCAATGGATGCAGCTATGGGGCATTCTTTGTGAATATCTGCAAGTGCTTGGCTTGACCTGGGACCTGGTTGATACTGGAATTGGAAGATGGTTGCATGGCCATGTCGTGTCCCTAGTATGGAAATTATCACGAATTAAAGACTTACAATTGACCAAATAATTATTTTTTTTCAGATTCCCTCTTCACTTCAATGGAAGTCAAATACAGCTAGCTTACACTTGTATAGACAAGAGACAAACACGAAAAGATCCAGTGTGTAAACGGAAAGGAAAACGTTTTGATGTAGTCGTGTGAGATACTGAGAAAGTAAAGCAGACATTTTTAATACTCTGGGCAATAAATCACTATTACTGTGTGCATTCAAAAAGAAACAAATTTATTTTATTAAAAACAAAAGTTGATAGTAGACTTAAAGCTAGTGATGTTGTTTGCATGGTTTTATTTTACTCATTAAATTATATTGAGAAAATTATGCAAATCACATCATAAGGCAGTTTCAGAAATGTTTATTATTTTGTTTTTACAAAAGAAAAAACAATAGTTTACCTAATACCTGTCACTGATGGCGCTATATAGTTTGGTTATCAGAAAGTGATGAGTGATCTGCTACAGTCTGGACTGTGTTTCTGTATACATTCTTGGCTATCTATTTGAATACTATGTAAACTACCTATTTTTGATGCTATTACAACAGCATTGCACAGCTGTATTCATAATTAATTCGTCCTATTATAGTTCTTAATTTAAGCGTGTTTGCCTTTACCTTACTCTGATTGGTCATGTTACATCGGGTCAGAAACCAATCACAGAAATTTGTAAATACTCTAGGTGAATCTTTTCCAATTGGTGCTAGCTAATTCCTCAATATGTAGTTGTCATGGCAACTCTTGAATCTGAGCTACTTTATTGTCTGCATTTGTGATTCACATGACATATCACCATTTTTTTGAAATTCTATATCTAAACGATTTCAACATGCAACATAATATACTAGTTTATTCAACACATTGACATGGCAACATAATATACTAGTTTATTCAACACATTGACACGGCAACATAATATACCGGTACTAGTTTATTCAACACATTGACATGGCAACATAATATACTAGTTTATTCAACACATTGACATAGCAACATAATATACTAGTTTATTCAACACATTGACATGGCAACATAATATACTAGTTTATTCAACATCAAACAATTGTTTTATTTACGGATGCTGGTACTTAAATGAAATGTTCCTCAAATTACTGTCCCGTCTAGATTGACTAACTCACCCACCCCAGGAAATAATGGGGGATTCCAAAGTCATAAGTGCTGCAGAGTATGCACCTGTATGTAAATTTATTATTGTTTCTAATTACTTCTCTAATTGCATTTACAGTAATTATTAATTAAGCAGCAGATATCTGTACATTTTTGTAATGTAACCACACTTGAGCTGTGATTTTCTTGACACCAACTTTACTGTAGTTATGCTGATTTACTGTATTGTGCATTTAAATAGATTTATCATTGTTTTGTTAGTAGTATATGGTTATTGCAGTAGAAATTTGAATTCTTGGTTTAGCATTGAAAATCGCAATTTACATTTACATGTAGTGCTATGGCTACCATCTCATTTAAGTGTACCTGGTCAGCCACGCCCCCTCCAGATTATTGTAATTTTCTAAATAAAAGTGTGCTTTGTGCCTTTCAAAACTCTGCCCAATATACATATTAAATAAATTAATAGTTTCTATATACCTTGAACATCTTTATGATTGCTCACTACAAGTATAATATATATTAAGATGTACTATCTTCTTAGTCCCAGTTCAAAAAGAACTACTTCAGTCAATCTCATTAAAATAAAATACATGTATAAAAATATTAGTATTGTTCTTGTTCCTCCAAGTAATCTCAATATATTTCAATTATTAGGACTTTATCCTGCTCATATCTTGTTCTCTAGTTAAACAGAATACAATTTCTAATTTGCTGGGTTTAGTTCAAGATTTCTGATATTTTCTTCTTTTATGATTAGCTTTACATTTTAAGAAAACTGTCAGATAATTATGTTATAGGTCATTGTAGGCACATGTATTTGTTGTTTTATTTAAATTCAGCAACTGTAAACATTTGGTATAAGTCTGAAGACTACCTGCAAGGCATGACTGGTGTAGTCTTGTATATCTTGGTTTGTTTTATAAGTTCTGACTGACTTGATTACTTTGTATATTGTTCAGAAAAATAATTATAACATAATTTAAGATAAATTTACAACAGTTTTTATCTTCTAAGTTTCCAAGTCTGCAAAATCAATTTACAGTTTAAAAATATAATATTTGCCAAGTCTTTGTAATACATTGTAACCCTATTACATAATGTATTCATATTTTCATTTTAGTAAAATGAAAAACAAATATAATCATGATAATCAATTCAGACCAAATCAAAATAGTCAGTTCAACAGATATGTGCATTTTTTTCTTATTTCGTGTAATTCAAGTTATCGCAACACTTGTGTGTTTTGTCTTATTAATTGCTGCAGTTTTTAGTAGTAGTATTTTGCCGCTATATGAACTATGTCAATATGAATTGTGTGAATGCCATGGCTCACCATTGTTAACCATGTGATCAACAGTGCTAACCATGTGGTCAACAGTACTAACCATGTGGTCAACAGTGCTAACCATGTGGTCAACAGTACTAACCATGTGGTCAACAGTGCTAACCATGTGGTCAACAGTGCTAACCATGTGGTCAACAGTACTAACCATGTGGTCAACAGTACTAACCATGTGGTCAACAGTACTAACCATGTGGTCAACAGTGCTAACCATGTGGTCAACAGTGCTAACCATGTGGTCAACAGTGCTAACCATGTGGTCAACAGTGCTAACCATGTGGTCAACAGTGCTAACCATGTGGTCAACAGTGCTAACCATGTGATCAACAGCGCTAACCATGTGGTCAACAGCGCTAACCATGTGGTCAACAGCGCTAACCATGTGGTCAACAGTGCTAACCATGTGGTCAACAGTGCTAACCATGTGGTCAACAGTGCTAACCATGTGATCAACAGTGCTAACCATGTGGTCAACAGCGCTAACCGTGTGGTCAACAGCGCTAACCGTGTGGTCAACAGTGCTAACCATGTGGTCAACAGTACTAACCATGTGGTCAACAGTTCTAACCATGTGGTCAACTATGTGATCAATAGTGGTACATAAGCATATTGATTGTAATTATTTTAAAGCAGAATTCTTAAAAAAATGCAATTTTAACCAATATTCAGTAACTGATGTCCATGATGAAAAAAGAGCAGATTTTTCTATCACCTTTTGGTGTTCACAATACCTTGTACTTTTCTAATAATAGTCAGTATTGGATGATGGTTTAGTTTATTGTCAGATAAGTATTAAAAGAAATTTGGACACATCACATTGTGTAGAATGTAGAACAACACTCAAAGTAATTTTCTATTCGTAATATGTATGATTTGACATGTACACAAATTAAAAAAAAATAGAAAAGGAAGATTTTTTACTACTAAGAAGAATAAATTATTATTAATAAGTTTGGATATATGGATATGTACTTATGCAGATGGAAATATTCAGATGTCAGACATTTTATTACATTTTTGTACTTTGTGGAATCTTGAAAGGAGATGATTTGTGATACCAATTTAATGTGTTAATAAAATACTATACTTTAAAGCTGCATTCTGAGAATGTTTGTGTGTAATTTCCATTTTGAAAAGCCTCAGAAAACAGTTATCTAAACTCTAAGCTCAATAACAATCCCATGGTTTTGTTTAATGTAATAATTTGCTTGGTTCTATGTGTAGGGTGTGTTCAAATAATATATTATTCTGAATTGTGGATTTTTCAAAGAAAGAAGACATTTCTTTTTCACACTCTGCAACTTGTCTATCAATGTTTTTTGAAATGAAAGTCTTCCAACATATATCATGAAAGAAGGAAGGAAGCAAATAAGGGACATACAATACTTGTAATGCATGTACACTATACAACACTATTTATTTTACAAAAGTCTATTGTTCACATGTGGAAACAAGAATGTCATTACTATCACTCATTTTTATCTGCTATGGGGATTGTGCTTGATGTTTGTTACTAAAATAATTAAAATAATATATAAGTTTAGTTTGTAATTGGGAAATTACTGCAGTAATATTACATAACTGAGCAAACGGCTAAGTGTATCTTATTAAAAGAGCGCAACTTGTGATTGACAGTACTGAAATTCAGAAACAATCGGTCGTATTGAAATTTGTTTTTGTAAAACGACAATGATTTTGCGCATCGCGAGAGATCGTCAGTGAGAGATCGCCAGTGAGAGATCGTCAGTGAGAGATCGCGAGAGATCGTCAGTGAGAGACCGTCAGTGAGAGACCGTCAGTGAGAGATCGCGAGAGATCGTCAGTGAGAGATCGCCAGTGAGAGACCGTCAGTGAGAGATCGCGAGAGATCGTCAGTGAGAGACCGTCAGTGAGAGATCGCGAGAGATCGTCAGTGAGAGACCGTCAGTGAGAGATCGCGAGAGATCGTCAGTGAGAGATCGCCAGTGAGAGACCGTCAGTGAGAGATCGCGAGAGATCGTCAGTGAGAGACCGTCAGTGAGAGATCGCCAGTGAGAGACCGCGAGAGATCGTCGGTGAGGGACCGCCAGTGAGAGATCGCCAGAGATCGTCAGAGATCGCCAGTGAGAGATCGCCAGAGGGAGGTTTAGCCGCTCACGGGTGTTTGTCCAGGGTCCCGGTAAGTTGTCATCTTGTACCGTAATTCCTGTGGTTCGCTCAAAAATTTGGATTTCAATAGATGGCACTCTCTTGGGATCTGGACGCAACCCGTGGTCATCTTATTTTAATGTAAAACATGGGTATATATATCCTATACATGTTAGCTATGCTTTTAAGCGTTCACATTTTCGAATTGACAAAAATAAAAATCTGAGAAAAAAAAATCGCTAGTTACAGCTATTACAGCGGTATACCGCTTTAAAGAAAAAAGGGGAAAATGAAAGGCGGCCGGAAATTACATAGGACGAGGTAAAGGAGGGGGGGTGTAAAATATTTTTTTTTATAGAAATGGTATTATAATATGCCAATATTTCATTGGAATGGACTATGCTGAATTCTAAAAATTTATAATCGTAGATTATCAACTGTAAAGCATGGCGTGTGTACATTTCGCATTATTTGTTTCATATTCGTATGCCAGAAATATGATGAGATTACACGAACGTCCAGATATCTGGATTTTAACCTAGATCGTATAGACTATACATTCAGAATGTTTATCTTTTGGACCTTTTTTGAAATGGTTTGTGAAATGTTGCAGGTAGCGTTTACACATGGCACAAACGTACTAAAATACCCAAAACAACATCGCCGTGTGATGTCAACATTTGTCATAAATCACACAGTGCGCATGCGCACTCTGCTGCTGAAGGTGCAGGTATAAAAAAAATATAAACAAGTGTTTCAGTGACAATACGTTATTTTTAATTTGTGTGTTTTTTTTTAGCCAAATATGCATTTATTTTCTATTTAACACTAGCAACACTGATTAAGTCGTCATTTTTGTTCCATCCCATGACAAATACACTTTACGGAATTCGAAACTCTTCCGTGGATACAATATTAGTATGGATCAATAGTATAAAAATAAGCATTAGCTTGAGCTGCTTTATCTGGGTGTGGTGTTTAGAAATAATACCTGCGTATTCGCCTGCGTATTCATAGTAATATGCGGTAAATAAGCGCCATGTTGCATTGAGGGTACGTGTTTTCATGAAATCACACTAAAAGACTGGATATAATAGTTGTTACAGGTAAGCAACCACTCACCTTAACGCACATTTTGCATGTACTGAAAGTGTATGATGTTGATTGCAGGAAATAGAGAATGAAGGATTTATGGATATGATAAAGGTTCAGTTTCAGGGTCTTCCAAATCACCTCTACTGATCAGCAACATATTGCAGAATAATTTTGATATAAAACGGGGATAAAAAAACAGTAGTATGCGAAAACCAGCGCCACAATAAGCTAGGTGTGTATGGTACAAAAACACAGTTACTTGTTTATACTGTACTGTTATTTGTTTATGAATTGGGCAATTATAAATGTTGTCAGAGAGAAAATGCGTATTTGTCAGATGATTTATGTTTATATTGAATATCAAAAGGACACTAATTACACTCTGTATCATTCATAACTAACATCTCCATGGCCTCTTACAGCTATGAGATATTTGGTGTCGTCAAAAATACATCTCTCTTTCAAACATTACGATACCATAATACCTGTTTAGATTCGTGAAATATCAGTTTGAGAAGACATTATTATCAATAGTGTTACCTATATCAGTTTGAGAAGGCATTATTAACATTAGTGGTACCTATATCAGTTTGAGAAGGCATTATTGTCATTAGTGTTACTTATAGCAGTTTGAGAAGACAATGTTATCGTCAGTGCTACCTATATCAGTTTCAGAAGGCATTATTGTCATTACTGTTACCTATATCAGTTTGAGAAGACATTATTATCATTAGTGTTACTTATAGCAGTTTGAGAAGACAATATTATCGTTAGTGCTACATATATCAGTTTGAGAAGGCATTATTATCATTACTGTTACCTATATCAGTTTGAGAAGGCATTATTATCATTAGTGGTACCTATATCAGTTTGAGAAGGCATCGATGTCACCTATACCAGTTTTAGAAGGCATTATTGTCACTAGTGTTACCTATATCAGTTTGAGAAGACATTATTGTCATTAGTGTTACCTATATCAGTTTAAGAAGGCATTATTGTCATTACTGTTACCTATATCAGTTTGGGAAGGCATTATTATCATTAGTGTTACCTATATTAGTTATTATCACCTATATCAGTTTGAGAATACATTATTACCATTATCGGTACCTATATCAGTTTCAGAAGGCATTAGTGTTACCTATATCAGTTTGAGAAGACATTATTATCATTAGTGTTACATATATCAATTTGAGAAGACATTATTGTCATTAGTGTCACCTATATCAGTTTGAGTAGACATTATTATCAATAGTGTTACCTATATCGGTTTGAGAAGGCATTATTGTCATTACTGTTACCTATATCAGTGTGAGAAGACATTAATAACATTTGTATTACCTATATCAGTTTGAGAAGGCATTATTATCATTACTGCTACCTATATCAGTTTGAGAAGACATTATTATCATTATTGTTACCTATATCAGTTTGAGAAAACATTATTATCAGCAGTGTTACCTATATCAGTTTGAGAAGACAAAATTGTCAATACTATTACCTATATCAGTTTGAAAAAGCATTATTATCACTAGCGTTACC